TAAATTAATTCACGGTTCTTGACAATACCAAACTTATTAACATACATGTATATGTATGTAAATATTACCTTATATTTGTATCATCAAATAATATTATAAATACCTCGTGTCTTTATAATTATAGAAAAATATGATATTGGATTGTAAAAATATAAATTTAATAGGTAAAAAGATATTTTATTCTTTTGAAATTTTACAACTAAATGTTGTATTCTCAAACCTCACAGAATTTATATACTTGATTTGCACAAAAAAACAGATTTCTTAAATAATACTTTAAAAGGTTTAAAAGAAATTATATGATCTTTGAGGATCAAAATATCTATTGATGCAGTTGAGTTGTGAACTCATATTTTAAAATAATATATGTATGTAGCAAGAGAGAGAGAGAGAGAATTTACTATCACTCTACACACACACAACAATAAAGAATAAAAAAACAAAAAAAGCATTGAGGAAATCTTAGCCACAAAATATGGATTTAGAATTTAATAAAGTCATGAACAATAGATTGTGTTCAAATGACACAAAAAACACATGATTTTGGATTTGTAGATTAATTTTATGTGAGCTTAATGGATTAATCTTCCCCTTTAAACGAAGTGGGACCAAATCCCCAACAAAGAAACCACAGTCAAGGACAATCAATCAGGAAGAAGCTAACAACCCAAATAGCTTAGTAATTAAAATAATAAAAAAAGTAATCCTCACAGGGTCATTTAATGCTTGGTAACAGATTCCATGCCAATTAATTTGTGGAATTCCAAAAGGACTGTAACACAAAGCTTCATAATTCTGCTTTTACGAAGCAAATATTCCTAAGTTTGCCTTGTGGATAAAACCCACAATCTATTGAAAAATTGAATGATTCTAACTAATATTTGCAATATATCTGGAATTAGCTCTACCTGACACTGTCAATCTCCATGTCAGCAATTGACTACGTGGGAAAATTTTCAGCCCTGACGAAGAAGAAGAATAAGAAGAAGGAGAAAATGGAATGTGTGGGAAGCGTATCCCTTATCCGTATTATACTGTATTTTCATACATACATACAAGTGTGTTACCGTTTTGGATGATAGTTACTCCTTTCGATGAACGAGAATGATACGGAGGATGAGACTCCAGGTGGCGATCCCCTCTAGTTGACAGCCCTTTCAACCGACATGGCAGATTCCTCCTTTACGATATCATTCATTCATTTGACGAAGTTTCGTTGCGATACAGTTGATGAATGAAGTTCACGTGAGTGTGAACAGGATTCGTCCCTTCTTCTGTCAAAAAGGTAAAGTTGGCTTTCGAAGGGAGCAGGATTTGCCTTTTGTCTTTTTGGTCCACCGCACTTTTTAATATTTTTGTAACTTTGCCCAAACTGATGCTCTGCTCTTCTCTGCTCTGCTCTCAAACCACACTATTTAGCTGAGGAAGATTCTATGGTGTCGTGTGGATTAAGAAGGAGCCATGGATTCCACACTCTTGGCATTGCTCCTTAATCCTCGCTAATCACAACATAACCAGCATCATGTGCTAAATACCCACATAATAAATCATCTCAGAGAATGAGAGCATACGTTCCTCATTCTAAATCTCCATGAAACATGTCTGTAAGTGTGTATGTGCATGAATATATTTATATATATATATATATAGTTGTATGCTACACAGAACATTAATACTGTGTGATTCAATGGACAAGCAAAAAGCTACAGTTCTATTCTATCTTTCTTTACAATATTTGTGTAACCAAAACACATACATATAATTCAATGAAACAGTTCATGAAAAGAATAGCAAACAAGTTTCATGTCAATTATTATTATTTGGCTTAAGCCATAACTACCTCCAGATTCAACTTGTTTTTTATTCTTGCATATTGTCTATAAGTGTAGGATCATGGCTTACATAACTTCATGTACCCATTTTGCTTTTCCCAATCTACTTCAAAAGCAATGATAAAAAAGTTATTGAAGGAGGAACATTTAGTTTTGAAAGAACCCCAAAATCTTGGGGTTTATTCAGCAAGTTTTCATTCATGAATGGGTACCCTTGTAGTGTGAAAAGCATATAGATGGATTAGAAAGGTTCAAAGAGCAATTCTCTTCTAAAATGAAATAAAATATCAAATATTGGACAGAGTGAAAAAAATATATTGTTTTGAATTTTCAACAAAATAAAAATAAAAAATAAATAAAGTTTATTGAATTCCATGCTCATATTATACTTGAGTTATTAATTTATTTTTTGTATTTATTTATTTGTTTTTGGTTTGCATATTCTAAAAATATATAATCAATCTCTGTATATACATTCGGATTTAAAAGTTCAAAAACCACATGACATGGACAGCACAGTATTTCATGCAGTAATTTTCCATGTTCGATGATTTTTTTTATTTTTTATTTTTTAAAAGTAGCTTAATATCTCTTCATGAATCATTGTAAGCATTTTTTGTTTTGATTTTTACCAGATGAATATAAATCTCGTAAGTTTTTTCCAAAATTTTTCTAGACCAACATTCTATTTTAGTCCTTGAAGAAATTAAATCTTAAAATTTATCATGAAGTACAAGAATAAACACTAAAAATGGCATATTTAATAATCCAGTTTGTGACTAGATTAAAATTCATGTTTGGTTCTCAAATAGTAAAAAGAACTACGTCGCAGCATGGAATTCAAAAGAAAATAGGCTTTTAGCCCAAGCATACATGTCATAGGGTCAATTCTAACTTCCCTGCCAATGAGAGACATGAATAGAGTTTTCACTTCATTAATGTTAACTTAACCTTAAATGCACTTCTACTTAATTTTTTGTAAAATCAAGTACCACTCGAAAATTTTAAAAAACCCATAACTTATCATCATTTGTTACTTAAAATCTGTATATCTGACAGTGTGCTAATAAAGTACAAAATGTTTCATCATTAGTAGAACAATGGAATCTTAAACTATTCAGGCACGGAAGGAGCCGAATCTAATTTAATATTCACACTTAAAATTAGAGAAATGCACTCGATTTAGATAGGATCAATATTGGCAGCTCCATCAATGCTTGTGTGTAGAAGTATGTAATCTCTCAGTACGAGTATCAGTCTTGCCATGACTCAAAGTCTACATAATGAAAGAGGACTGTTTACCTTACTAAGCAGTGTGAAACGGGACTCCTTCCCCACAGAAGAATCTTTGGAATGCAAAGGCACAATCTACCTCCAAAGATGCTGGTCAAAATGGGATCCACTGATAAATAATTTTAAAAAATAAACCAATAAACCAATAAATAAGTGAGCATCACGGGCATCCACTAGTTTCATGGGTGCCCAAGACGCAGCCCTTTTCAAAAAGTTCTGATAACATTGCTACTGTATGTGACTAGAATAAACAATAAAAAAGCACTTATTTAGACTCTTAACGCTGGAGTCTCAGTTGAAAATGAGGGTAGTTCTTCATTGTCCTTGGTCGCTGATGGATTTCCAGTTCTATTTATTATCACGATCATTGTTATTTTTGAATGAATGGGACTTGTTATTATGTGCTCAGAACCGAAATGAATTTCTCCACCCTCGTTAATACATATTATCCAAGAGCCCGAGGTTTTTATTACAAAGAGTCTCAGCTACGAAGTGGGGCCCATTGAAGCAAAAGCCTCTGCAACACACTCTGGAACACTCTGCAGGCTCTGAGTTGCGGAGGAGGAGTGGCTCTCTGTCTGACGTGGTAGCCTTATCGCAGTTGGAGCAACCCCCACCTCCCCATTAACGACGGGTAGTTTATTTATTTATCTATATATTTATTATTAGCACAAAAGGATGAAGGTTAATTACTAAGTAATGAAACTGCAGTACCGGTAGATGGGTTCCGTCCCCTAAGGGGGGGACCCAACTTATTCGTCTGGAGCTGCAACTCTTGGACGCTCTGAGAATAGGTAAGTCATGTGATTCAAAACTGGGGGGAGGGGGGAGACTCGGCAATAATGTGATGCCATACGTCGCAATGAGACCATAGGAATTGTTGCATGGAGCCAAAGCAAGGAGCTCGTCGAGGCCCAGGCAGACAGACGACGACGACGACGATGGGGACGATGGGATGGGATGGGATGGAGCGCCGTCGTCAACTGCGTGCGCTATGTCGCTTGGACTGTGTCCCACCCTGACGGAGCTCGGTGACGTCAAGCTTGGGTCTCGCGGCCGACGTGGCGTGAGAACGGGGAGGACGGGGGAAGAGGCATTCAATCGCCGTCGACGGCAGCGAGGAGGGAGGAGCAGCACGGGGACTGGGAAAGCGTGGAAGGGGACATCTGAGCCGCCTCCGTCTCTATCATCAGTCCCGTCTGATGTTTGTCTGTCTGCCTGGCCCAAGGAGCGAACCTTAGTTTTTTTTTTTGTTTTTTTTGTTTTTTTTTGGGGCTTCTGTCTTACAGGGCCGATGACGGAGGGTCGCTGAGTGCACTTGCAGACCTGCTAGCACCTTCCACTCGGGAGCCGACTTACGTGCGCAGCGGCAGCTCGGATCGTACCTTGTGGGTGGATCTAGCATCAGGTGGGTGTGACTCCGCGGTTTCGCGTTTTCCCACGTCCGGATTGATGGTGTTCGGGTTGAGTCCAGGAGTGAGAAGCGAGAGTGAGCGATGGAGAGAGAAATGTGAGAGAGAGAGAGAGAGAGAGCGAGAGCTGCCGAAATCTCAATAATTAGAGGGTGGACAGATTCGTCGATTGGTAGAGAGAGTTTTGTGGTTTTTTGAGGGTGCATGGAGGTGGCGGGATTAGGCCGAGGAGGGTGATGGGTTGTGGTGGTGAAGAGAGACATCTGGGCATGGAAGTTGTGGCCAAGCATGATTTTGCGGGTGCTTGCTGTTGGTTTGCGAGAGGTTGGGATGTGGGGAGACGGCAGGGGAGAGCGCATGGTGGTGGTGGTGGTGGTGGCGATGTTGTTGTTGGGGATTTGAAGGCGAGGTTCGTTGGGTAGAACACCTTGAATCTCGGGGTCATGTTGAACTCAAGGGGGGATGCGGGAGAGGATGAGGGGGGAAGTGAGGTATGGGATTAAGAGGTAGTGGTGGTGGCGGCTGCTTGGCTCTAACTGTTGATGTCCCTGGTAATGGCACCGTGTTGCCTCATCGTTTGTGTAGCATACCTGCTGTGGTGCGGAAGGGGTATGTATGTCGTGGGCTGTGGTCGTTAGACTCGCGACCATTTTCTGATGGGGATGTAGTTTTCACTCGTATGAGGGCATTGGGAAGGGTCAAAAACTACAGGAGGCGTGACCTGGCTGTGTCAGGTCTGGTTGACGCTCCGCGTCTCTCTCGGTGCTCATTTTGTTCCGCTTCAAATCTCCATACCCAACCCATGAAGTCGGTTTCGTTTAGCTGCATACCCTACCCTTCGTTGGAAAGCCAATGAAACAGCTTCCTCTTCCCCTTCGACTACACGATATTTCATTTTTTATTTTTTCTGTTCGCGAGTGCTTACAATCGAGTAGCCACAGTGCTGGGGTAGACAATCTCTGGACTCGCCAGCTCTTGTCTGTTCTCGTTTCCATTCCACGGGACACTTGCTTTCGGCAAGTCAATTCTGCTCGGGTGTAGGTCCTGGGTTGCGTTGGCGAGACCATCTACATGGCCCTTCTGGTGACTCTTTATGGCGAAATTCCTGATTGGCCCTAGCGCTGCTTTCGCCTATCCGTGCTTCGTGACTTCGCTGCTTCCCTGGAACACTGTAGTGCTGCCGACAGTGGTTCAGCAGGTCGGAGTCGTTGTCTGCATGTTGTAATTTCAGAATATTTGGAAGGAAGTACACTCTGCCTCCAGTAATTCAGCTCTTGATTTCATCCAACTCGGTACCCAACGTATTACTTGTGGAGATGACGATGTATTGTAGCTTCGCGCATGTGGCTATGAGGTCAATACTTCAGGAGCTGTAGCGGAGAGTTAAGGCCCTGGAGTTTATGAATGTGGACATGGATTTGTATCGGCAATAAATCACTCAAGAGAGCTGTCAACTCTGTTCCTGCAATCCAGATCAGTAGGGCAAGTTGCCTGCATCGCACGTTCGAGTCAGTCGCCGATTTCTGCATGTAATGGGCTTTGTCCTGTGCTCAACCAGCATACATCTTTATGCTAGAATGGGTCCCACAAAACTGGATCTGAAATTCACACTCGTCAGCTCTTGCCGAAGTGCTGTCCGAAGGTGTGTAAAATTCATTGAGTTGGATACTAAATTGGGGATTGACTATTGAACGGATCGAAAATGGCGATTTAGGGCGTGTGGTACTTGTGTGAATAGTCAAAATGTTGCTTTCGCATCTAGTGCTAAAATCTGTCCAAATATTTGTGTATTAAATTCACAACAGACATCTAGTCTTGTAGGTGCGTGTCAACTTTTCATATTGAGAGAGTGAAGCTGGAATGTGTAATAGGAAAGCACAAAGAGTGTTCTATGTCTTCATTGTGTGTAATATTTGTACTGGAATATTACGTTGACATTTTGTTTTGTAACAGCTTTTATCGTAAGAGCTCCAACGAATCAGTCCACGAGTATTGAGGCCATGCGAGTGTGCGAATGTGAGGTAGCTTTTGGGTTTGCTGGTCCTCTTGTATTAGCGAGCTAATAGGCCCGGCAGGAGAGTGTGGATTAGGGCCTACAAGAAGGTATCTCACTCGTGTCGGAGAAATCAGGGGCAAAGCAGGATGACTGCAGGATAGGTGTTGACAAAGTGCCGTACCTTAGGGAAGGAAACAGCTATTGGCTGCATTTAGTCCCTTCAATGTGAGCGTCCCTTTTCAAGGATTTATTATCCGTCGTTCTTAGCAGGGTACAATGCAGCACTCGGCTTGAATCAAGGGGGTTGAAATGAATACTCATACTGGAACAACTGCATTATCAGGAATTCTGTTTGTATCAGCTGAATGCGAAAGTTCGAATGGGGCTTGGGTGCTACCACCGATCGTGACAGTTTAGTGAACGTAGCATCTACGGCGTCTGGGCAGCTGCTACTGGAGATGGATTAATTTGAAGGCTATGTTTGATAGCGGAATAACAGCAGCGCTTGAATTGATCTCAGTAGGGTAACTTCCCATTACTTTTCTAAGTTGGGCGGTTGTAGCGTTGACAGAATCCGCAATGCATGGCTGAGTTCGTGCGCAGTTGTCAAGACACCAAGTCAACAGATAGGAAAATTTGATGTAGACATACCACGCCTTTTAGGTGGCAACCAGTTGTACATGTCTCTCGCAATTTAGGAACTGCCTTGCGAGAACATGGATCCATGAGGTCTAGGACGTGAACGGGCCTGGATCCAGAGTGATGAGAAATATGTTTAAGTCCTACGCAGGGGAGGCATACAAATGGGCAGTAGGAAGATAACTGTCATGGATGTCCAGGTATTGGGAGGGTGGAGCTGGATCGATGATAAAAATCCTAGTACAATAGCATACCTGTTGTGTTTTAGTATAAGATTCTGTAGATGAATTCCGCTAATTGCTTCGACGATGGCATGAGAAGTCAGTTGCAAAGTTTTGGCAAGCTTGTGATGTCAGTGGTTGTCACCCTTTGGGGTTCGGAGTTTGAAGAAGAAACGGGTTCATGTTATTGTTGTGCAGCTCTTTTGGTGCTTCAGCTGGTTCGAAGCGTTTTTGCGCATTCATAGTTTATATCATAGCTTCTGGGAGAGAATTGGTGCAACAAATATCGTAAAAATGGCGTCGAGGATTATCTCTGCATATGGCAAGAGTGGGAGGGCAAGTAAATTGGAGGGAAGATTACGAGAGGTGTGATTTAGTGTTCCACAAGGTGCTCGCTATCAAACCTTGACGGCATCGGTGCAAAGGACTTGAGAATGGCATATTGGGCAAGAGCAGGAGGCGGAGTGGTGAATGTCGGTGGCCAATTCTGAGTCAGTTCGAAGGCAGGCCAAGGTACTCATCGTGAGTTCACCTCTTTTGAAAGCAAGGTCTTGGTAATAAATAGGCTCTGGTGATTGATGAATCAGAGCTGGCACAAAGCTACACATGGTTCATTTCCAAAGCTTGAGGATGGTCTCACTTTGAGGCAGCACACGAGCACATTCAGTAGTGGCAAAGGGTTTGATTCATCTTCGTGAAGGGTAGGTTCATTTAGGTCAGATACGAGGTCAAGAGTCCCTTGATGGTCGCAGTTCATATTCCAGCTGGCGACTACACCGGGTCTGTATTAGAATTACGCATTATCACACATGAAAAACTGATGGATAAACATGTTAATGTAGGTAGCAGCATCAAACTAGCCAGAATGGACAACATCGTGAAACCAACCGGCAGTGAGGTATCTGAAGCTGAAGCAGCACCTGCCGTGCACTGTAGTGACGTTGAACTCAAGCCAGTGCATTCTATGTTTGAGCTTGGAGAGTCAGATTTGAAGGTTGAACATGAAAACGAAACTTTGGTTGCGAGCCCTTCTGTGAGCTCTAATTCAGTTGCGAGCAATCTGTTGTCTTCACGTGCAAGGACCGCTGTGTGGAGGAAGAAAATTGATCCGGGTATTGGTGCACCGGTGGAAGTTGGTCAAAAGATTTTGGAATTTTCTACCCCAGCGGTGGCCACTCAGATTGCTACTGCTGTTGCTCCAAGGCAGAGGGTGTTCCATGAGGATTCCAGACCAGGATCCAGCTCTACCCTTCCAGTCACGCTTCCTGTGGCCTATCGGCCGTTACCTCCTGCCTCAGGACTGATGGCCTTGATCCCGAACCTTCTGACTCTAGCACCAGATATTCAGTTGCCATCTCCTGGTCTCTCACCCTTACCAGCGAACCTGTTTCTTTATTCACCAGGTTTGCCATTGACCTCAACCGGTCATCGGCGAATTCCAGCAGCTCCATCTAATTCGACTCTTGTTCCTGGATGTTCTGTTCCTCAATCTCTCACAAATATATCCCGAGTTCCGTCGAGGTCCCCTCAAGCGAGTGGGACCGACTTAAAAGCCCGATCTGGGCATATGTGCCATTCATCCAGGCAGAGTTGCTCGCAGTACTGCTTACAAGGATACAAGTTTTGTCTCTGGCACATTTTAGAGGATCCTTCTGCGCCATACAAGCAGTGTGACTTCGTTGAATATCCCAGCCGGGAGCGCTGCCGCTTTCCAGTGTCTTTGAAGTCAGAGAACACTAGGTGTGTGTGTGAGCCTTCTTTCCTTCTAGGTCCTCCAGGTGGTTGTACCCCGCAGCCATATTATCATAAGCAACTTACGCACTTGCATCAGTTACAATTTTTTAAAAAATATGACCATGTTGACGGATCAACCAAATGTGAGTTTTGCATACATTTTTCCTTCTAGTCGTCGGAACAGAAGAATGAACTGAATTCTGAACACATGCACCTGGAATTTAAGAGCGATCACTTCTAAGGCATTGAGGTCGATGCTTCCTTTGCTGCCCTTTTTGTGAGGCAGAGCCAGTTGTTTCAGCTCTCTTGTTGGCATAAGTGTGTCGTTGAGGTCTTTACTCAGACGTGTTTTTATTTGGTGGTGCAGGTTCTGTCAAATGCACAAGCAAGTCGATGGGTTTGGCATAAATCCTGTTACATTAAAGAACCAGCAATCCATGGAGCACCCTCCCCTTGGAGAATTCTCAGTGCTGGTACTGGCAGCTGCAGTTGCACATCAGATGGAGATCGTGGCCCCTCCAAAGCTTTGGACTTCACTTTTCGTTAATCAGCTGCCAGCGGTTGTACCACCATCTGACACAGTGTCTGCGAAGGAGGAGCACGGGACACCTTTGTTTCAGAGGTCCACAAGTGGGAAGAAGGCAGCTTCATTAGTGCAAAGTGATCCGAAACCTGCCGAAACTGTGCCGCACACCAATTCCAAACAGGTTTCAAGAAGAACACACGGTAACTTACCATTCTCCGTCAAAGGCTGTTTAGCATGTAGTGTTGCCTTGGTCTTAATTGTACTCATGTTTATTACCGGTTGTTGAATCGCGCTCATTCACCACAATCGGGTTTTCGTTGCACCACGCAGAGATTCTAGACCTTGGTGATTTCAGGTCCAGGAAAGTCTATTGCAGGTCCAATGACGTGTGCTACTATCAAAGTGGAGAGTTTCCTTGAATTAATTGCCAGCCGGCAAAGTTTCTATATTCTTATGTCTAAAGGGCATTATTTTATCGAAAGCTAACTGATCATCTGGACGTATGAATAGGAGGTTTAAATTTGAAAGATGATGGAAGAGGTACAGGGAGCACAACGGGATTCAGCACGAAGGTCTGCGTGGAATGCAACTTAGACAATGTTAGCTGCAGGGCGACAGGTTGTGGATATCAAGATTTCACCTTGGTAGGTAACGCGCAGTTGAAGATTGGGTCTAATTCCACCAAGGTTGCTAACGAGCTGGAGAACTTCCGTGCCCAGTTGGGGGATCGACTAAGCAGCCACGGCATCTCACTTCCGTATACGATGCCCAGTGGTGAAGGGAAGGCAGGTATAGATCATGGATTTTGCGGAGGTTGTAGAGGTTTGCGTCGCAGCGGAAGTCCCCACCACGACAAGGTGGTTGGTCCAATCACTGCAGGGCAAGTTTTTGCTAACGGAGCGCCTACAAACCGGCGAGCACATGGTGCATCAAGTGTTTCCTGCTTAGTGGATATTGGCCCCATAGAGCTGAACAAGATAGGTTTGATGTGCAGTTCGCAGCACCTTACTGGGTTACTAAATGGAAAAAGGTCATACGAACAGCTTAGTATCCTGCCGGCTATCGATTTTGGAGGATTGGATATGGCCACGATGGGGGTGCGCTGTGGACCTCGAGAACCCCGTGCTATTCTTGGTCTGGCTATCAAACGCAAGTCTAAGGTGCAGACCCCAAGAGACAGTTCTTCCATGGGTCGAGGCCAGGTAGGTGCTTGTCCCTGTGGGTTGTAGGAATGCAAGAGTGCTCTGACGTTTTATAAGTTTCTGAAATGGTAGGCATTTTCGAGGAGTATATTGAAGAGATTGAGCGCTAAGCAGCTTCTAAAATGATTTAGAGCGAACTGTGTGCAAGTTTCGCTAGTTACCAGCTTATTGACTTGTAATTATGCATGTCACGTTCATACGGATGTTTGAAGATCTGGAGGTGTTTGTGTAGGGTCGAAGAGTATTTTTCTCGCGTTTCGTTGGTGTGAGAAAGCGTCCATGGGGGGCCTATGGGGCTGAGATTCGTACACCAGAAGGAAAGAGATTGTGGCTGGGTACGTTCACTACGGAGGAAGCCGCCGCTCGGGCATATGATGATGCAGCGAGAATTTTCCGGGGGAAGAGTGCAGTGACAAACTTCGTGCAAGGTTCTGAATTTGACTTTGGGATGAATTCTCCGTTTGCCGTGGGCTCGTCCTCAACATCAAATGAAGAGGATACGGTGAGCGATTGTCCTGGAGTGAAAAAGCGTTCAGCATTGAATACGAAGAAGGAAAAGGATTCAGAATTGGTGCAACTTGGGATTGTCCAGTCGAACCCAACCAACAGAGACCGCATTGGGACTAGGAACCAGAGTGATTCATTTGGAAGTCCCATTGAGACGATAAACTTGTTGGGTGGTTTAGAAACAAATTTTAAAGAGAGCGTGAAATCACTGGGTGCTACCTCAGAGGGCGCTAATCGGTCACGCATCGGGAATTTAAAAGTCCCAGGTGGTCTGCTAAAAGACCGTTCCGGTCGCAAGATTTCGCAGAAAGGAACAGGTCAGGTAGCCAGCTCTAAGAAGGATGGGAAGTTTGATCTACCGAGCTGGTCAGAGAAACGACTAGATGAAGACACTTCAGGACCAGATCGACTGCTACTGTTGAGCAATTTCGCAATTAGTCAGGAAGGGATGGAGATGGAGGAAGGGCTTGATTTTAGCAAGAATCAATCGAAGGAGCATAGAGCATGCACAGCGTCAACTGTTGCCACAGGAGATTCCCGCGACTCGGATGAAGAGTCCGATGGTGCATCAGATGTGGAGCCGGGACTGGATGTAGATTCCGGGTTGCAAGTGAAAATGGGAGAGGCTATGGGAGAGAAAGGAAAGTATGCGGAGCTATCTATTTCCGCAGAGCTGAGCGAGGAGGAGAAGCAGCAGCTGTTGGATCTTGGGGAAGGTGATCCGGAGTTTAGGTTAACAGGCGTGCGCAAGTCCCAGTCAGGAAGATTTGAAGCCACGATCTATGACCGCACGACGAGGAAGAAAGTGTATGTAGGAACGTACAGTTCCATTCTGGAGGCTGCCCGTGCACGCGATTTGAAAGTTTTAGAATTGGGGTCCATCTCTACTCTCAACTTCCCCGACATGAGAGCTATACAGGTAAAGGGAGATGATCTCTTTGACGCTGTCAGTCATGTTTATAATCAATTTCAACTGTGGCGTAATGTTGGTTAACTGTTAGTGGTCGGAAGGCTTGCTTGTCGTCTGAGTTTGTTAGAATTGCTCACTAGTTTCAATATGAACCAAGTATTCTTGAATTTGTTTGTATCATGTCCTCGTCTCGTGTACTTGCGTTCTGTAATATCTTGAACAACTATTCCTTTTTTCAAGAACCCCTCCGTCTCAGATTGCATAGCATTATATCTCTTCACACATACACAAGATTCGGATGCATTTTGACACTTCTAAATTGAAAGATATATTCTTTCTGATAGCTTAACGAATGTAAGGGATTAGTCAATGTCTATCTTCGCAGTCGAGACACGATATGTAACAATCTAGTGCATCTAAAAGAATGTGGTGTTGTGTGTGTGGTGGTTGCAGGAAAGTAGGAATTCGAAGGCTAGTGGAGAATGTAGTAAGAAGAAGCCGAAGGCTCAAGATATTGCACAGTCGTTTAAAAAGATACGACTGGCTTCGCACAACAAGTCGGATACGGATATAAATAAAGTATTGAAGCGGAAGGTCTCAGATAGTGAGAAGGAATCTGGGTCCAGTATAGTGAAATCTTTGAAATGCAAACTAACGAAGCCAAGCTTGGAGTCTGCAAATTGTAAGCCTTACAATGGGAGTAAATCGATGGAGACAGATTGCAAAGATGCGGTCAAAGGTGAGGGACGGCTACCTCTAAAAGTTTCTACAGTTTCTTCAGGTTGGCTGGTCGATTCAGTCTCTTGATGTTATAATGGGTTCCCATGGTTACGTGCCTTTCGCCCACTGTCCAATCTCATGAGCCCCGATATATTGAAAGTTGTTTGGACTTGGAATGTGGCTTGAAATATTTTTGATTGTGTTAGATGTGTTGTATACATGTACATGTTTGGCGCGATACTAATGGTATGTGTTCTCACTTGCAGCTCCAAACAAGAAGTCTTGTATAGCGAAAGCACCAAGAAGTAGCATGAGTTCAGGCCATGAGAAGTTAGGGAATGAGGTTACCGAAACTGCGTCTCACAAGGTGAAGCGGAAGTCCGAAGAGTTTCGAAAAACGGAAGTAGAGTCAGAGAAAGAGCGTCTGAAACCTAAGAAGCAGAAAGTAGAAGAAGTGGAAGAGATAAGTGCCTCGGCGAAGAGGCGACGTATCCCTAGCGAAAAGGTCAAGGCGAATATTGGAGCATCTGATGCGGCAGCTCCTGCTGCGAAAGAGGCTGCGAAGAACAACGACACCGTCAAACAGGAATTCTGTGTTGTTGGTCAAGGTAGTCGATCAACTCAGCGAGCTCTACGAAAGAGCAACATGTATAGGTAAACCCCTACATTTGGATCTTTGATACTTAGCTCAAAACATGCGGATTAATTTTGAGATTATTTTATCAGAAACTGAGTTGTTTTTCCCTTCTTTTTTTTTTCTTTTTTTTTTTTCTTTTTTTCTTTTTTTTTTTGTTTGCAGAACCTTTGCGGATAGCTTTGTGGAATCTGACTACGCACGAGTGTACAAGACAACCTCGAAGCGAAGGGCCATGTTAGATAAGGAAGGGAGGAAGTTAGACAGCTTGTCTACAAATCCAAGCTCGGAGAAAAGTCCAGCTTCTTCACCGAAAGAAACAACTATTCCGTCGAAGTCACGGAGGGTGAAGAAACCCCAAGAAGAGGAGGATGAAGGAAAGGATAAAGCTTTCGAGGAGAGAAGTGGTCAAGTGAGCAAGAAGCCCTCACCTTCGAAGTCAAAACGTGCTCCTGTAGCTGATGAAGAGGAGCAGCCGGTTTCACGGTCTCAATCAGCGGACAAAAGCTCAGCGAAAAGTTCTGGGAAACGAAGGTCTCAGCGGAATTTTATGGGAGTGCAAGCGACCCCAAGCGGCCGATTTAAGGCGAAGATTTATGTTCCCAAAACAAAGAAGCACATATATATCGGCATATTTGACACACCAGAAGAGGCAGCTCACGCTTACGATGAAGTTGCGTACCGGAAGCGTGGTGCGACAGCCCCTCTGAACTTCCCAGAAGCATTTCACGCAAAAATCAAAGCCAAACAGCCGATCAAGAAAGTGCTTATCCAACTCACAGATGCTGGAGACTTTGAAGCGATGTGCTATGATCCCAAGGCGAAGGATTACCACTCTGTGGGCGTGTTCAGTTCAGTAGATGGTGCCCGTCGAGCGGGTGCTCGTGAAGCAGCTACATTGGATTGCAGCAACTCTGAGGCGTCTGATAAGGATAACGAGGATGGCGACGGCGACGGCGAGTCATGGAGTGGGAAGAACGACAGTGTGTCGGATAGCAAGCCCATGAAAGAGAAGCGCTGTAAGCCTTCGTATTCTGAAAACGCGGGTTTACCTGTTACTAGGGATGTTGAAGGGGAATCGGACGAGGATGACGTGGTTGTGGTGGAACAGTCTCAGAAAGAGTCGGTGAGATCCATGCGGTCAAAGAAAGGAACTTTTGCACGGGCAGCTACCAACAAGAAGCCTAGTCGGCGAGGAAATATGACACGGCGGGCGGACTTCAGAGGCGTGTATTGTAATGGTCACAAGTTTCAGTCGATATACTATAATCCTGCAACCAAGAAGCACACTTATCTGGGCACCTTTTTAACTGCAGAGGAGGCTGCTCGTGCTCACGATCAGGTACTGTGACCTATTTTGCCAGTGATTTGTATTAGCGATTTGGATGAGGATATTTGTTGTTTCACTTGAATTTGATTTACTGGAGGAATTGCATTCCATGGGGTTCCGAATAGGAGCACCCGTTTCTGGTAATCATTGTCTCAATCTTGGGAAGGCTTTACGTTCTCTTGGTAGATTGTAAAGTTATTTGTTTTAATGAAAAAAAAAACGAGTACAAACTTTTTTATACCAGGCATGTTCTTCCTAGTACTGGGTTTTATTGTCTTGGGGTCTCGACTGATGAAGATGCTTCAAGTTTGGAAGTTCCCTGAAGGAGAATCCGTAGCACGTTAGCAACCGAGCACCAGCAGCAAATCTCCCGATATTGAGGAATCCTTTTTTCAGAGATGTCTTGTATGAATAACCCACGTAGAGGTTGTATGGTAGGTTTCAACAGCCAAATGGTTTCCTAATCAAAACATAAGTATGTTTTATCACAAGGGTGCTGATTTTCTTTTGTGGATGTGTTGCGTAGGTTGCCTTTGCACAGTTTGGGTTGGAAGCGAAGTTGAATTTACCTGAAGAAATTGAGACATTGAGAAGAACTGTAAAGGTGGTAGGTAGAAACGCCGTACTGATAAACAACAGCAAGTCGAAAGAGCCAGAGGAGGATGGTGAAGAGGAAAAGGAAGATGGAGCAGATTCACGTTCTTCCAGTCCAGTTGCTGACCTAAATGATATGGAAAATACAGAAGTTCCAATAGATATTACTAGAGCTGATGTACTGGAGGATGAAGATGATGAGTTAAGTTCACCTTTAAGTCAGGCTCCTTCAATTCCTAGTGGTGCGAAGCCAAGCAAGTTAGTCTCGACCAAGTCCAACTCGTTCAAGGGCAACTTTTTGGATATTGTTTTGAAGGAAAACAATGATGAGGATCTGTGTAATGCTACTATCGCTGATCGTACTGGAGACGCCAAGTCGTCTGAGAAGCCCAGTGCAGGGATGAAGCCGAATGCTGGTGTTTGTGGTCCAGCTGCAGAAGATTCGAATGTTTTGGGACAGCAGGGCAACCGGGAAAAGGAAGGTGGGGACGACTTGCGATTAGGAGCCGACGCGGAAGAGAAGACGGGAAGACGAGTTTCCCGTCGCAAGATGTATCGTGCAAGTCGTATTGGGATCCCAGGTAGTGCTCTTGGTGAAATTGTGAGGTTTCCTTCGGAGAAAGATAAAGCCAATGAATTACAGGAAGAAAAAGATGGGTGGTTAGGGGAGCATCATTTGCCTGAAGGTCAGAGATGGGCCTCAGTAGAGGAAAAGAAGAAAGTACAAGATGGTTCAAGTCAGCAGTTGCAACTAAGAGCTAGTGGGGATACTTCTTTGAAAACCTCTGATGTCGAAGGTAGTGCCGAATCAGTGCCTCAGAAGAATAAGAATGAGGAAAGGGAAGCAGGACCAGTCATGCCTTTGTTTGATGTCTTGGCTGGAGAATTTTTGAAAGCGAGTATTGTGTTGGAAACGGCTGAAGCTGATGAAGGTAAATGTCAGTTTGAAAAGGAAGGCGAAAAATCCATGCCTCGTGGAAGTGAGGCATACGCAACTTGTGATAAGGTTATGAAAGACGGCTTCCTTAAGAATGAGCCAGTGAAAGTTCCCAAGGACGAGACTGACATTACGGAGTCTTTGGTAGAGGACCAGTCATCGGTGACTTCGTCTGATAATGTGGGCGTTGCTTCTGTTGATGGGTAATAGGCGATTGGATGGGTCCACAAGATAAAACCCATGTGAGAGCTCCTTGCTGAATTAAGATTGACGTCATTGTAATTTTCGAACTATATAGTCTTGAAGAAACTTTCGTCACTCAAATCATTAAAGCTGGGAGATTAGTCCTAGAAACAGCTTGAACAGAGCAGCAAATGGATTTGTGCAGTGCAGCACCTGAAAGGCCAGGCAATGGTTTATTGTGAGGATCTTCTGACATGCTTATTGGGATTCCCAGCAGTATGCATTTCCTGGTTGTTTTTGCGTGGTAAGTGTTGATTTTTTGATTTTAAATGTGCAGATTTGATGGATCAGAAGCGGAGGTCTATATGATTGTACAGAGACTTGCGGCAGTTTGTGCGCTGTGATGCGACTTACAAATTCCCTTTCAGCAAGAGGTTAAATTGTAAAGATTCGTTTCAGTTAGGCTATGAGGTTAATTTTAGGTAGTTGTATACGAAAGAAAGTTTTGAAGGAATGTTACACATCTCCCGCTTTACCCGCTCCTTGTGAATCCTTGTTTGAGCATTGCTGTGGTTGTTGCTCTCTGTATCATATCATTGATTATTTGGGTCGTTTTGGTTGTAGTTTCTACCACATGCTAATTGTTGGGTTTTCAAGCTTACATCAGAAGTATTTCAAGCTGAGGGTGATGGTGCAAGTTTGAGGAAGCATTTCTAGTGCCAGCAGACCTACGTGTCCAAGACAGCGCTGACCACAGATTTCTCATGAACTTTGCACAGTTGGTGGTATTTGTATTTTGATTTTCCACAAAATTTAAACCCATTCCAATTGCAGAAACACCTAGTGAAATAAAATAGAATAATAAAGTTAATAAAATAAAATAAAAAATTAAACATGTCTCTCAATTTTGTACTTAAAAAATCGAACATACCTAGCAGCTGGTTGAAAAAACTTGTCTGAAAACTAGTTGGCAAAATAAATGGTTTATTTTTTAGTATTTTTTAATGTTTCACTTTCTAAAATAGGTCAAGTGGATTTTATAACAGTATACTAATAGTGTTTTGGAATGCTTCTGTATTACGAAATAATAACACAATATCTTTACACAGTATGTGCAAAGTGTTGAATGAAAAATTCACTCACCCTCCTATAACTTCCTACACTTATTGTATAGGTAACAATTAAGTTATTGCATTCCATCTTCAAAATAATAAAATGATGAATCATACATAGCATTGAGTACAAGAACATTGCTTAAACAAAAGTAAAGTGTCAGTATCAGTTCTAACAACTCAAACACGAGACTTGTAACATCACCACAGGATTTATAATAATGAAAAAGAGGGACCATCGTCAACTTGTAAGGTTTTGGGTAGAAGTTCGTAGGTCTGCTAGTCCTAATATATTAGAAAAAAATAAAATATATATATTTTTGGAATATTTTGAACCTAACATGTAGCACATTTAAAGTGGTCCTAAATCTTTTTCAATGAGTATGTAGTCATTGTCTAGAACTTAAAAAATACATGTGACTGTTGGGTTGTCAATTACCTTTTTGCATGCATACCAAGAGGTATTTAGATTATTTGTAGTGATCTTTAATAAAGAACTTTTGAATCCAATACATGTTTAAGTAACTAAATATTAAAAATTTGTATGTTTATATATATATATATATATATATATACTTGTAACTAAAAATATAAAATTTAAAAAACAAACAAAATAAACATACATATTTAAATAAAAATATACATATCTAAAAAAAAACAGTTTTATTTATTGTATAAGAAAATAAGAATACCTATTACTTAAAGCAAGAATATCAACACAAGTATTTTGGAATTATATATGTATACATATATATATATATATATATATATACACATACATACTTTTGAAATATCATTCTTGATTGCTTATATCTTTTAATAAGGCATTTCTTAATATTTCAATGCCAAATTATTTTAATTTATATAAAGGAACATGATTGCAATTAATGGTTCTTGATTTTTGTAAATAAAAGCTTTTGCAACATGTAAAATTAAATTTCCACTAGTAGTACTATTTAAATGTCTTTATTATAACCACCTATAGCTTTTAAATATAATTTTGAGTTTATTTTCGACATTGGATATATAAATATTCATTTGAAAAGATATTATAATGAAAAAATATGTTATGAAAAAAATAAAATAAAACAAACTCACAAAACCAAATTATATAATATTTTGAGATTTAGATTACAAACCATATTATTAGCAAATATATTTATAAATCAACAATGAAATAAAACAAAGTATAGAATTTATTTCATGTTTGATCATATTTTTTTGGTATACTTTAATTTCAAATTTCTAAATGATTACACCAACATAATATATGCATGTATGTATATATGTAGTTTAATTATATTAAATTTAAAACTTATTGAATATATTTTTATATGTATATATTATTCTATTTTATTCTTATGAATTTATGTTAAAAGTAGAATATGACATATAATGTTGAAAAAAATATGTTAAGAAAAAACACTTGTAACTACAAAAAGATATTTATAAGCATGATACAAAAGCCAAATGGCTGTATAAAGGTGTTAAAGACTTTTAACTTACAAAAAAAGATAGAAACTAATTTTTATACAATTTTCTTAAACATATTAGAATCTTCTTATTAAAGTTTTGTAAAATTATGCCTAACCTATATTGATGATAAGACTTTTGAAATGATTCTTTGTAATGATTTTAATATAATGTGCTATTAAAAAGTTCAATTAGAAAATCTTTAATATCATATTTTAAAATTGGTTTAAGAGTGTTTCTTGTAAAATAATAATAAGTTTTGTAGAAATTTGTTTTTAATGTTTTTTATTTTATTTTTATTTCTAGTTAATTTATCAAAAATTTACATTCTAAATTATTTATAAATTACTTTATTTATTTGATGTTTATTATAATATTTGAGTTCTTAAGCCAATGATAGTATCAAATTATAAGATTTGATAAGGATTTATAGGTTTTTTAAATTTATATTGGTACTATTGTAAATGCCTTCAAATATAACATATAGCTAACTTAGAAACATACCATCTTTTTCAATTTAAGTTCATTAAATCACACACATTTGGTTGAAGCTTATGATTCCAATTAAATAACATTCCTCCAATTGGTAAGAAAATTACTAAATATTACAAAACTTCTTTATTTTAATTATAATATTCCAAATTTAGTAAATATCTAATAATAAATGATTGCTGGCATTTGAAAATTAAAGAAATTTCAGGTTAAAAAAATGTTAATAGCTTTTTTATATATTTGAATTGTATTAAAATAATAATTGTACAATCATATGCAAACCACATTGAAAAGAGATGTATATTTTCTTTTTACTATTCAATAATAAAAAAAAAATTATACATAAATAAAAATTAATGAATTAAATATATATGATAACAATAAAAATAAGAATAAAATAATAAAAATTGAGTTAAGGTTTTAAAAGAAATAATTTAACATTTGAATTAACTACAAATGTTATTTGATCTCACTATTTCAATCTACAACACAAAGTTTACTTAGTGTTTTATGTTAATACTCTTTTATTCTATATATATATATATATATATATACATATATTTTTAGAAATATTAAAATGACCACCCCATTTACTAAATAGATCCACTCTATCATGGGAAATGAGGGGGGGGTTAGGATGTGAGTTGGAAACAAGGAGGGTTGAGATGAGAGCCATAGTTATAATGATGGTTTTTGGAGATGCTTCATTTTTCTAATGATAGTTATGAGATGGTGGGTCAATTTAGTAAAATGGATGGGTCATTTTGAAAGGGAAAACAAAAAAGAAAGAAAAAAAGAAAGGAAAAAGATTCTTTAAAAAAACACTATGATCTCCACAAGAATACTGTAGGGCTTAAATATTCTCTCTTATTTAAATTTCAAGTAGCAGTAATAATAATAATAATAATAATAATAATAAAAACAAAAATAATACTTTGTAGTCTTATTATTTCTCCAATCAATTACAAACAACACACAGTTATACAAAAAGCACCATGTAGATATCAATGCATTCATGTAAAACGCAACATGACAGTTTTATCTAAGGGGGGGGGCATAGAATTATGACCCAATTTGGAACAACACATCATCCTCATCCATCCATCATGCCCCAATTTATCAACGCCAACCAACATTCTAGAGTGCATCCCAATAAGGACCCAGATTCCACATCACGCACCCCATCGCTGACGTGGCCGTGCCACTTGGACCACATCACACCCGTTCCCCCTGCCTCGTCAGAAGGACCCATCGTAAGCCTCTGTTCACGCTGCTCGAATCCTACTGCACACTCCACCACGCACCTTCTCCGTCCGTCCATGCGTTCGTTCGTTCGTTCGTTCGTTCGGTTGTTTGTTTGCATGCTTGTTTGTCTGTGTGTGTGTTTGTTGACGAATAAGCTTGTTTCTCCACTTACCATGACTGCCACCATGGAATACGAAGTAAAGAAGGGGGGATGAACAAAATGCTCTGCGGGCTGTTTCTTCACTTGGATTGGCCTCGCTTAGCTTACTCGCAGGTGCTTGCGTTGTCTTGCACTGATACGAAACAAGGCACGCATCCCTTAGAAACGAGAGCTTGACAATTACTGGGAAGGCGTGGTGAGGACTGGAGTCCAACGCAAGCCAAGCTATCTGCAGTACAAGAGACGCGCATTATAAGATAAAAACAATAGATTGTAAAAGCAACAGCAACGACAGAATGGGGGAGAGGAAAGAAAATTGAAGGAGAGGGGGAGGGGAGGAGTCAGTCACACTCACATGCACACCCTTTCCCTAAGATATCCAGGTTTTTCAGAATACGCAATGAGATCCCAGCAGCAAGCACTGAACTGCTTCTGGGGTCAAATCAGTCAACATTCAGACGTGACGCACAGCCCCGCTAAAAGCGCATGGCTGCGACGCAGAGTGCAGGCTCCGGGACCTCCAGGGTCCGGACAGAACATGCAGGAGGGTCCATTCGGGATCCACAGTTGAGAGCGAAGCGAGGGGCATTCATTCCTTGCAGAACAACAACAATAAACAGCACTAGAGCTGCTGCAGCGGCGTAAAGGAGTTCGCTGAGGTCTTTGATTCCTCCCCCACACCCAGAATGGCCCTTTCAGTGGTGTAAGAGCCGAGCGGCGCAGTGCCAGCCAAGGGGGGGCCTCAATGTAAAGGTCTGACCCAGTCGCGCCTTTGCTTGGTAGGTCGCAAAGAGCCCGGTACCTGCGGGGGCGATTAACAGGGTAACGCACGCCGAACGCGGTCGGTACATGTGTCGATAGCTGAGTGATCCGTGGAAGGGGGCAGTGATAGGTGCCTAAGGCGTGCGGTGATCGGGTCCATCCGGGATCCGCCGAGTCCGGTGTCGGATTCCGTGTTCTGAGGAGGACCCTGTGCAGGGGAGAGAGCTGGATTTGTGGCGAGAATTGGATGTGGCCGACGACACTCCTCAAGCCCCGACTTTGCAGATTGTACAGGAATCCGTTTGGTGCCAGTTGGAGTGATTTGGTAGCTTCCGGGGTTCCGTTCTCGCTGTTGGGTTTTGTTCCAAAGCTGAGTTTAGTCTATTATGTGAGTGTGTTTTTTTTCTTCGTTTCTGTTTCGTTTTCTGCCACATTATTCGTATTTATGTTTTCTATTCTATTTAAGAACTGGGTTTGTGTGGGAGTTGATGCTGGCGTGCACCCTGCGGATGTTGGTGTGTTAATGGCGGGGCATGCACGGTGCTCGATGGTCTGTGCTGCGGTTGATTTGGGTAAAGAGGGGGTGAGAAGATTTACGTATTGGTTTTTGCTGGAGCCGAGGAGGGTGTGAGCGGAGCCTGATGGGCGCCTGGATGCACGTGATCTTTTGGATGTGCGGATTTGTGTATATTTTTTTTGCGTAGTGGAGGAGTTAGGGCTGTGTGACCTTGTAGCAGTGGGTTTCATTTCAGTTGCGAAGAGATTCTGAACTGCTTTGTTACATGTGTGAAGTATAGCCAGATGCTGTTTTGCTATTCCAGGAGCAGGGTGGTTTCATGGCAATTCGGGCTGTTGATCTCGTAGTGACGTGGGGGGAATGGCCTTGTATGACTTAGGCTTGCAGAATTGGAACCGTGTGGGTGTATCTCGGAAGCTGAGCTAAGGATTTGGGCTTAGCAGCGGGAAGCTTAACATGCTGTTGGTTCCTCTGTCTCACAGAGTGGCTTTTCCATTACTGAGAGGAAGAAAGTACGCAATTGCTGCTTTTTCTGTACTGCGAGTGACATGGTTTTTAATTCGTGATTTAGGGTTGGATTCTGTTAGGCAGATGAAGTAGGATTCTGGTATAGATACCATGCCAAATGTAGGTCAATGTCACTGATGGTTGATGTCAAATGTCTCCATTCTCAAGATTTGTCGATGGAAACATACCTGAGTTTTATTAATTGGCTGTTGTGGTTTTTCAACGGATTTCAAAAGAGAGCTGTGGACGTCCTTCGTTTAGCGTTAGTGCTGGACTCACGTACTTTCGTTCACAGTCTTGTATTTATGATGCGGCTTGTTGCTTTGGTCACAGATTGAACACGCAAGAACCCCCTTCCGCGAGTGTACTTGGATGCCCTCTTGGAGGAATTCGACATCAAAGCATAGTATGAGTAAGTTTGTGTGCTTTTGCTTTACAACTCTACATCCTGATAACACAATTGATTTACTGGGTTTCGGTGGATTGTTAGCTCTGGAATACAAGTGAACTGTTCCTCATTGACTGATAATACTGCCTTAAGCTCCACGAGATGCCATGGAAAGCGTTGGGTCGGGAGATATTATATGCAAGGTCATAGAATACACTTCCCTTAGCAGGCAAGGAACAAGAAAGGAAAAGGGAATTTTTTTCCTGCACTACAGAAGCTATGATTGCTATCTCTAACTACAATAAGAGGGGATGCGGAGTTAGAGTTCACTTAATTGACGAAAGGCCAACAAGAGTAGTGTCTAATTAAATTAAGAGGAAATCTCAGCTTTGTATTGCACAAAGCAGCTGCGATGGTCAGCGTTGCTATTAACAGTAATGACAATTTTTTCCTCGATATTCTGTGAGCGGTACTTTCCGTTACATCCGATAAAGGCAGGGGCTTACCGTAGAGAAGAATTGCTTTTCTGAAACTTTTAGACGACACCAGAGATTTCTGTATACTTCGAAACTAATTTGAGGATCTTAAGTGAGGGCACGGATTGCCACACCTACTCCCTTCGAACGGAAGAAACTTTGTTAAAGTGGACCTACTGAGTATACCTCAGGTGCTTGGGTATGATGCAAAATGCAATGTCTTCTTTGCCTAGGCAGGGCCAGTGAACTTTCACGATATCCAATTTCTCCGAAGTGAAACATGAGGTTGATCGCCACTACAGATATTCTGTACCTGTGGATCTCGCTGGATTTGAATCACTCTTCCTTTCATGCTTATACACGAGTCAGTATCTTAGCACAGCTTGCACGCTTGAAATTTTATCCAGTTCTTTCTCTGCTTACTCTTTTGAAAACCGAGAATGAAGTGAATCGTGTTCCAACTTCTCTGAAGTTGGATGAGGGATCTATGTTGAGACTACTTTGAGCGGTAGACTTGTTTTTTCTGCCCATGAAATTAATGTACATCTGCGACTTATCTTGATCATTCATAATGTTCCTCAACTTTGTTTCTTTCGTTTATGTTTGGTTGGAAGAGTTACGTAGAGCACTGTAATTTTTTACATTTGGATAACTGTTGATCGGACTTGATTGCAGTGTGGCTTGTGGTTCTGATCGGTCTCCGTCAGTAAAGTTGGAGAAGTTTGCTCAAGGGGCCCTTGTGCCGTCTGGAATCGCTGGAGATAGGGCACTCATGGTGCTTGTGGCTTGTGCAAGCTGATGCTGAAGCAAGTATTATCAAGTTTCAAAAGATAACCTCTGGGGTATTATGTGGGATCGATTTTCTAGAAGCTATTCCAGTGGGTGCTCATAGTGACCTGTTTTTAATATGTGTCCCTTCAGCTTCTCTGTCTAGGCTGTACTGTTTTGCAAAGGACGACAGATGTGCAATGCTCAGGACTTGCTGTCGGAATAATGCTTTAGTAAAGACCAGCTTATAACTGGTCGTAATGTTCGTGTGAATGTGACTTTGGCATTTTAGGGTTTGTTCAAGACTTCAGTCTCAGTAGCTTGATTCTTGAATAACAGACTTATAATCTCAATCGATTGGGGTTGTAGACCAGATATTATCTATAGTAGAGTGGCTGCACCAAAGAGCCAACATGTCTCGACTTACTAAAATATGGAACTTGCCCCTGCAAAAGAAAGGGTTGTATGGGCCGTTGGAAGCGGACATGAAGGAGCTACCTCATCCAAGTCGCAATCTTACCGTTTCCCGTGTTGTGATCATGGTAAGAACCTCGCATAAGGTTTTGTGTTGTCATTGTATTTTTCACCACCGTTAAGTTTTCACTGTGTAGGACAGTTTCTTGGTATATTCTGGACTGCAGTGTTTTACAGATTTAGGTGTACGAAATTTTGTACAATGCAATACACGTAAGTTAAAAGTCTTGCTATGGCACTCCTTTTCTTCTGATCACCAGGTTTTATTTGCTCTAGAAACTACTTGCTATACTGCAGTTTGTTCTGGTTATCGGAGTTTTTTTTGTCTACGAAATTCCTTTGTTGGAAGCTTTCTTTCAGTGCTGAATGTATTTGTATGATAAATGCACGACATTCTGCAGACATTCCGATATTAAATATAAGTTCTTGCGAACAGGTTGCAGTTGCCGTATTAGTGGGACTCCTTACTGTCAGCACCTGGTATTTTACGCACAGTTATCCTAAAAGTGCAGTAGCTAGTCTTTCCGAATCTTTGCGGCTTGAGATACTGGAAAATACCTCAGAGCTACTGGATGAAATTTTCTCTATGAATACATATGGGTCGATGGCCATAGCTAATTTGATGGAGAAGAATTTCCTGGGGGATGACTTCAGCAGAGAAAGCTTCACGAGGGTACGTTGTGCATACGGCCATTGCCTGTCAGTGGGTCATGGTATTGGGAAGGAAGTAGACAGGAGAGAATTTATGCTCTTGTTTGTTCATCTGCCTGGCGATAAAACCATTTTTTTCCTTTGGCTTGAACTCATTCATTTGCTTCCTTAGGTCCTGCCTTGTTTCCTTCTAGGGGTAACTGTTTTAGAATTCTCTTCTCTTAACTTTAGCTCATTCTAGAGTATTTCTGGTTAATTTCTTTCATGGTTACCACTTTGCAGTATCTTGGAGCTTTTGGGCTGCAGGAATATGATAGGATCCCCTTTAATTTTTATGTGTCACCAATTATTTTGATTTACTTGTCCTTGTGAATGACTTTTCTACATAGTAACGTAGTTTCCAATGTCACTGCATTTTTCCAGATTCGGGATGCTTGCTGGTCAGTGTTCAAAGCCCTCCCAGCGGTTACTTCATTGGGGGTGACTGCTATGAATGGGCTGACAGCAGTTTACAACCGCGGTCACAGGAATGAGATAGAAGGGTTTAGGGGCAATTTTTGTCTCTATTCAAATGAAACTGGTACTTCGCCTGTGTATTATAAAGAGTTTGTATCTGAAGTAACTGGAGATCCCCTGGGGTTGCCTTCAGTTGAAATATTTGATTCAGCTCTTCACGAAACTCCTTGGTTTAAAGAGGCAGTTTCACATCCTATAGACAACCTGACTTGGACGATTGGGCGCAGCCTGATAAGTAAGCACTGCCATATTGTTCATCATTTTATTCTGAAAATGAGCGGATTTTAGTGATTTCGATGAAACGTCAATCCTTAGAGTTGTGAGTCTGTTTCTTCTTTGGCTGCTGAAGCAATGTCAAGTCTAGTTTACAGTGTTTAATGTATTACTTATTTTTTCAACCTACGATTCCTACGCAATGGTTCGTTGTGTTACACATTTTCATCTCTTAAAATTAAACGCGTAATCGTAGATTAAGTTTAAGCTGTCAGTTTCTTCAGGTATTCTCTTTTCTCATGTCAGTTTATTTATGAAATTCAGGTAAGCAGGCATTTGTACAATGTGGCATTGCTAAACAAGCAAAAGCTTCTAAGGAAATTGCTCTTGTGCACTCGTCGCTTAGTGCTATTGCCATAAACGATTTCATCTCATCTTTGGAGTTAAAAGGTTGGTTCGGCTTTATTCCGCCTATGATTTTCGTAGGAAAATGTCACCTGTATGAAACGTTCACTCCGGCACTTGTAATTCAGCAAACTTGATTTGTTTGGGTCAAAATACGATCATTTCAGTCACTCTATTATCTTTTCTTTACGAGCGTAGTAATTTGATACATTGAGAAAAGTGCCGAGGAATCACCTATAAATTGCATCTTTGCTATCATTTATGCAATGCGTTCGTGTGTAGAAAATCATCGCTCTGACGTGGGTTCTTCAGGGGGAAGTGTTTTTATTGCAGATGAGCATGGGACTCTTCTATTCTCGTCTGAGCCAACAGTTTGTGTTTTGAGTAACAGAACAGCTTGTGAAACTACTCCACTAGATCGCAACTCTGTGTTGAACGATGGCAAATTATTTCTTCAATCCCAAGTTGGGTTAGCGAATTTGGCCATGAATGAAACGCACGTAGCTGATGTTTACTTGAAGGGCAAGAGGTATTCCGTCGATAGTTGGCCATACTCATTCAGGACAGTGAAGCTGTCTGTGGTGGTGATGATTCCTAGGCACAGTTTCTGGGGCCCCATGGACTACTACACTCGCATCACGTGGATATCTCTACCCCTTCTTTCGATAGGTGTGGTCTTCATTGGGTGCAGTCTTATATATCTATTGGTAGAGCAAGTGCAGGCCGAAGAGAAGCTTCGGGCTGAGATTCAGAGGCAGTCTGAAGCCAAGTGCAGGGCAGAAGCAAGCAGAGATGCTAAGACCAATTTCCTCTCAAGTATGAGGTCAGTTAGTAGACAGAAAGCTTTTCAACCAAAATCTCGCCTATTAGGTTGTTTGCGAGAGTCATCCCAGTGTTTTGTTTATTTTTTTTATATTCTTTGTTTTGTTCTTTGTTGTCTCTGATAGGCTTACCTACTGTATATCAACTTTAAACTATTCGTTTCGAACCTTTTTGTAGAAAATTAGTTCAGATCTAAGTTATGTTGGACTAGCTATTTTAATCTTCTTCCTCACGGATGGAGCTAGACAACGAGTTAAATTCTGTTACTTCACATTTTAAGGAAGGGTTGATCCATCTTCCACGAGTTAGGTGTCTTTCTCGAAGTGAGGGAGTCTGAAACACCAGTCTGCTTCAGAATTTATTGTTTACATTTTGAGGAGTCTCATTTTAGGCGCTTCATATCAAGTTCAGTTATTGACATTGCTTTGTTGCTTGTTCCAAACAGTCACGAGCTGAGAACTCCGATGGCATGCATCATAGGACTCCTTGATATGCTTTTGATGGAAAACCTGACTGTTGAACATGAAGGGAGTGTTCGGCAGATTCATCGCTGTGCCACATCACTCGTGTCACTCCTGAATTCTGCTCTTGACATTGCAAAGGTTTTTTTTTTTTTTTTTTTTTTTTTTTTTTTTTTTTTTTTTTTCCTTTCCTATTCCTTGTAATTTGTCCTTTTATAGTGGGTTTGCCGTTCTGCTCGTTTTTGAAGTATCAAATGCGAATTATTTTAAACTAAGATTAAAACAGACAATGTCTCTTTTTAATGATGGGAGGAAATTTCTCTCTGCAAAATGTATTCTTATCTTGCTGTTGCCACTCCGTTATTCAAGTGAAACAAATAAGTTGCTAAACCTTGTGAAGAGTGACTAGGATTATTTGAGATGAGGAAGTTGTAAAGGTGGGATTATGAACATTATACTCTGTACTCTGTACCCTAAAGATGCATGCAAAATGTTCTACGAATACTTTAGCTAATTTTTTTATAGTACAGTCATCCTATAAAAGCCTTTGGCCAAAGAAACAACACTCATATATCTTCATGTTTAAACTCTGTTTTCAGTAACCCATATTTTGGGTCGATTACATTGTCCAGTTCCTGAATGCTGTTCACGTTTAACACTTAGTATAATGTCCGTTGTGAAGGTGGAGTCTGGCAAACTTGTCTTGGAGAAGGCTGAATTCAATCTAGAGGCTGAGCTTACGGCTCTTATTGATGTCTTTTCTGTACAATGTGACAATAAGAATCTATTCATTTCTCTCGACTTAGCAGGTACATCTTAATTTTAAAAATAATTTTCAAAACATTATTTAGCTTATCACAGTTAGCTATCAAAGCTGCATAAGGATGTGTTGTGCTTCAATTTGGCGTGAAGGGTTTCTATGCATGTATTGCATGTTAAAACAGTAATATCTCAGTTCGTTGTGGTTCTTAGTGACTGAACTCGATGATACAGGCGCCCTTAAATTATTGTGGAAGTTCAAATCCAAACTAATATTTTTCATGAATGCAGAGTCTGTTCCAGCTTATGTGATTGGTGATTCAGCTCGTGTGATGCAAATTTTTACCAATCTGATAGGAAATAGTATAAAGTTTACTTCTAAAGGAAGAATCGTAGTACGAGGAAGAGTTTCGAACTCAGAATCGTCGAGTGGGTCAGGGAAGGGTCACCGGCGGAGTTTCAGTCCATTTTCGCTTGAAAGATGTACAGAGGAAGCAACTGTACCAGATACGGTGGTTTTGGTATTTGAGATTGATGATACAGGCCCGGGGATTGAACCAGGTTTCCTTCTCCCTGAAATCACTGCAATTTATCTCAACACCTTGTGGTCGTTTTGGCTGTTTCATGGCATCAATAGTGTTGATATTGAGTTTGATCTTATTATATAAGAAGTCCTTTATAATGTCATAATTCCGTTTTGTTTTTTTGTTTTTTTCTATTTATTTTTAAACATGTTGCAGATTACGTATAAAATTATCTTTCCATGTTATATGATGGATAATCCGTTAAAAGATTGTGTGGGTTTTTAACGGAACTGTGCAGCACTAAGAGAAAAAGTATTCGAAAACTTTGTTCAAGGCAATGCAAGCACAACTCGCATGTGAGTCTTCAAGTCCTTGACTGAAACAGTTTATGAATTTATCGTATTCCTTAGAGTAGAAATATAAATTCCATGCTATAGCATCGTCAAAGGACTCTTTGAGAACATTTTCGACGTTATTATAATATTGTGAATAGAAGGTTTTCGAACTAGGTTTGCTCTCAAATTGTGGTCATTGGCCTCAAAATAATGTTTCTCAGTCACTCGACACCCCTAGACATGGGCTGCTGAGGATGTTAGGGAGCTTGTGTGATGTATTAACCGAACGGTCAATGTTGGCTCTGCACATACATTGTTTATAGTATAAGTCGAGGTTGGGTAGATAGGTAAGAGTGGTGTTTGCTATTAGCAATAGAAGGCTCTCGCAAGCAACGGAGATGTAGGTCTGTAAGGTTACCAAATGACAGTTTCTGTGAAGAGATATTTTCTCACAGTGATTTCTACTTGTATGCAGACATGGAGGGACAGGATTGGGACTAGGCATCGTTCGATCTCTTGTCCAGTTGATGGGAGGAAGCATACGAATCGTCGAGAAAACTGGGGCAGGAGCTGTATTTCAATTTTCCATCTGTTTTCAGCGGTCTCTTACTCCTGAGACATTGCCTTATAAACTCCCTCCTTTCTACCATGAAGCTGAAGTTGTTATTGGTGTTCCCGATGCTGACACTAGGGCAGTCGCATCTGAGTGGATTGTCAGACATGGTTTAATGGTTCACCAAGTTGAAACATGGGAGCAAATTTTGTTGCACTTGAGGGCTCTACATGGAAGGAATCCACAGGACAAGAATTCGGAAACATCTGAGATGGAACACACGAAAAGCATAGATGGCTCGCAGAAATTCTTGAACAAGGTGGATTCTGCATCAGATTATTTTACCAATTTATCGCCACAGAATCTTCAGAGTCCAAATAACAGGTTTGAGTTCTGGAGGAGTTGGAAAAATATTGGAGAGAGGCCATCAAGTGAGCAAGTGAGGCAACTTATGCTAATCGATACAAGCCTTCTACCCAAGCACGTGCTACCTCGTGACTTGGAAGAATATCTACAGGAATCAGGATTCCTCACAGGTTTGTCAACACAATGTCTTGACAAGTCAGGCATTCACAAGAGGGACATGAACCAAAGGCAAATTCGGGATTTACAGCAAAAGCTGTCAGTCGTCTGGGTTATGGCTTCAAACACTCATGAACCCATCAAGGCTGCTCTTCGGGCAGTTCGTAGCTCATTCATTGTGAGGAGGCCTTTGCATGCCGCTCGTTTGAAGGAGATTTTTCAACTGGTTGCGCAAAACAGTGATGCCTTCTCATCGAGGCATTCGGAATCTGCTCCCGAGGTTCTTGCTTCTAGTACCATCAACTATGTTAAGCAGCAGGAATGGGATGATCCTTATGCTTGTGACTCAGAGGTACCGCTAGCACAAGAGTCATCATCTCGGGCTAGTACCATAGGAGTCACTCACGGAGCCACTGTGAGAAACGTCAGGCATAGACCAACTGCTGCAAAATCGGTTCCTCAGGAGGAGATTTCGTACTCAGAGATGGAGATCAGATCTTCAAGACAAACTGACCAGCCGTCCCAAAGCATGGTTACACCCAGCAAGCACATGAAGAAAACCGTTCGAACTACTACCCATGTCAACGGCAGCAAGAAGATGAATAACGTCCCCAAACCTCTAGAAAATCTTGAAATTTTGGTTGCTGAGGATACTCCGCTTCTGCGGAAGCTGGCAGCTGCTATGTTGCGGAGGCTAGGTGCTGTGACGTATGAAGCTTCTAATGGCCAGGAGGTTCTGGAAGCTGTGATGAACCGCATGCAGTGTGGTCAATCTCCATTCAATTGTATACTCATGGACTGCCAGGTTGGCTTCTCTTTCTCCAGTTCATGGACTACTTCCAACTTAGACTTGTGCGGCTCGTTGCTGGTTAAAAATCTGCAGTAATTATGTTTGGAAGTTGTTAATTATCGGCAACTCAGAGAAATTTCTCTAGTCTTTAGTTCTTTGCTTGGATTGAGAGAATTAAGAGAAAGTATTGCGGAGTACCTGGCGTATAGCTGCATAGTCATGAACTGTTTACCTCCATTACGCTCATACGCATGTCAGTTTGACTTACGCTTAATGTTTCCTCCAGATGCCAGTTATGGATGGATATGAAGCTTGTAAGGCAATCCGAGAATTTGAGAAAGATGTAACATGGCGAACGTCCATAGTTGCGCTAACAGCAAACGCAATGGCCAGTGACGAACAGAAGTGCCTCAAGGCTGGTATGGATGCATTCCTGACGAAACCCATCGATCAGGAATATATGGTCCAAGTCATTCTTCGAACAATGACACCAACTTCGTTCGGAAATGGATGTACGTTGTCTGTCAAGAGCAGTGTCCACACCGATTCACCAATTCAACTTCAGGTTAGCTCTTGACAATAGTCGAAGCGTCATCTGGCTGAAGTCCCCACCCCCCTCCGGCTCTCAAACAACCGCGTATATCCTTCAAGGCTTGTGTTTCGTCAAGGACTCCAAGCTCCACTTTCATCAGGCTCAAGGTCTATGCCTTGCAACGTCTTCATTTTTGTACTCGTGCTTCCAACTTGTCGAACTGAATCTTGTGTACAGGTTGTTGGCCGGAAGTAGTAGTGTTTGTATACTGCTGTCAGCACATGGCATGTTCACAATTAGGCCAAGTCAATGATTTGTTAATAGAGATTGTTTCCGTAGTATTGCAGTACTATCATTGCCTGTGTAAGCACATGGGTAGGTTCCTCATGCCTATCGAGTTCTAGAATGTATTCTTACAACTGTAAATCTGCTAGAGTTGTACACATAGATGGCTTATTGGTTGGTTCGGATAACACAGTTGCGGGGAACAGCCCCGTCTACAGGAGGATTTTAGGCATGCTTGGCAGTGCTTAAAGGTGTGTAATTTTTCCTACTAGGATGTGATGCATCCTTTAGTTTGATAGAATAGTTCTTGACCTCATCAAAAAAGTCTCCTTGGATAAGATTCGAGGATTCCTTGAAACATTTTTATAAGCTAAGCTCTCTCCCTGCCAGGATAACGCATTTGGTGGTGGCTCTGCTGTAGATTTTCATTTATCAAGTATAATCTGCAGAGAAGCTTTGTAATCTTTTTAACAAGAAGTCAGAATTTCATGACAACTTTATACTTTTCAGTTGAGATAATTATGATTATTCTCAACCTTAAGTGTGATGAATGGCACATATTATTACGATTTCTGACTGCATTGACTGGAAATCAGAAATTTTATTGCATCTATTATACCAAGTAGTTATAATTGTGCGTGTACGACGACAATGGATTAATTTGTTGTTGAGTCGTCGGTTGCATCGGCAACATGAATAAAAATGAAGGCAGAGTAAATCGTTCACACACGTAGGACCGGTGGATGAGGGGAACCGGGGTGCCTTTGGTAAAGTATGGTGACCTTTGAAAATTGCGCCCTGTTAGCATGAGATCTATGAAAAGACGCCCTTAGATGCTCGCTTCTGTCGTCTGATGCGTTTGGTGCGCTCTCTTCTAATGGAGCATGTTAAACCTTCATTTGCGTTAAACCGTCAATGCCTTGAGAGGATTATGCCCCACCTCGAGATGAATCCCGTCAAACCTTTTAACTGATTGTGCCTTGAGAGCTTCGCAGAGCCCTCCAGCAATGCCGATGTTTGGATTCCGACTTCTTATCCAGTGGGCATTACGACTGGACGAATTCTATATCCTGCCGCCAACTTTTTCCAGGCCAGGTCGTCTCTTAACTGTCAACTGTAATCACGTCTAATTGACTTATTTGTGTAGCTCCAAGTCCACAGAATCGCCCATACTGTGGTTGTTATCATCAAGGAGATAATAACAACAATTAAAATAATTTGTTCATCACTATCATCGTCCTACACCAGTGGTTGGTATACTCATAATTTTGTTATCGACAGAACACTGTCAACCTTGGAATTCTATTGGATGAATACGTTCATTTGACTTTCTACATTGAAATGTGAATTGTAACTTCCTCTACATAGATTAGTGTTCATTGTAAATTAGCTATTCTGTGCTTATTGTTTGCTTAGAGATCAGTTGCTTAGTGCTAGTAGTGACTTGAAGACAATGATGTAAAGTAAATTAGTGCTATTGCAGAGTAAAGAATGAACATATGTTGTGTACTACTGTTTAATTAGTATTTGTGCATAATAACTTCAATAGGTTATAGGCCTCTATGAGGTTACCGCATTATGTGAGAGATGTTTTTCTACTCCTAAATTAATCTCAGCTATGACATTCTTTGCAAACAAGATTGCTTTGCCTGATATGTTTTCTATTATAAACCTTCTATTTGTTATTTATTTTTTTCTTGTTATTTTCTAGATACATCTTCTTTCTAACAATTTTTAAATTAGACTATAAGTTTTTTGCTAACTATAAGTTACAATTGCATTTAACATCTTTTCATCTTGTTGTACTAACTCTCACTTTTGATTAGTTGTTAACTTATTCTAGAATTCATAGAGAAACAAAAAAAAAAATTCAGTGTAAAAATATTTGATGGCAATCAGTTTTCTATTTGAAAATATCATATGGAAGGCGTTTTTCAAGCCAAAAATGTTTTTAATCTTGTCATAAGATAAGAACATCAACTAATCATACTTGTTATATATAAAAATTCAAAGATCCAAGATTACATTGATGTCTGGGATCAAAAAAATGCTAATGCATGTGTATTCATTACTTCAAGTTTTATTATAGTTGATCATTTATTCTACTACCAAAACCATGTGGACGAAGCTATGTATAATCTATCTTTAATAAATTATAAAAAATATTTTTTTAGAAGGAAAGTGTGTAAACTATCTATATAGCTTTTCATAATTATTGTTGCAGTACAAAAAGTCAACTCTATTTAATTAATTACAAATTATACTAAAATAATAAATTCAACTTCTATTATAACTTCACAACAACCGTACAATTATAATATTAATCTTTGGCATAAATGGATGATTTATCATTCACTTTTTTATTTTCACCTTAAATATATAACTTCAACTATTTTTATGTATCATGGATATATGCTTGACAAGCAAACAAAATTAACATATTGGCATTTTGAAAACAAAGTTATGAACTTGAATTTGCATGAATTTTTATAAGATAATATCTTAGATGAAATTAATATTATGTCTCTAAGCAATCTTACTTTTATATGCTTGTCAAAGACAATACTACTACCTATTGATTCATTCATTTTGCAAAACAAAAATTTGAAGCCTTGAATCACTTTTGGCAAATAGTAAAAATCATTCAACGTGACAAATTTGTTTTTGTAAAAGATATTCATACTAATCAAGGCTTTAAATATTATAATTCTACTTTAAATGATTTCTTCATGACATTGCTATCTACCATAAGGTAAATATAATATTTAATCTATAACAAAATGGATATGTCAAACAAAATAATAGAACCATTTTTAAAGCGGCTCGCTCAATATTATATAAAAAGAGCTTACTACGAACTCTTTGGCCATAGACTATCAATACCACAGTCTATATTTTAAATCAAACTTTTAACTTTCAAATATATATACTAAATATCTTTGAAAAGTAGTTTGGAATCAAACCTTTTGTATTACATTAGAAGGTTTTTGGTTCTCTTTTGTATATACATGTTATTAAACAAAAATACAAGAAGCTTGGAGCTAAAAGCACTTTGATATTTTTTGTTGGATATTCATCATCAAGCAAAGCATATGGATTTTAGAATCTTCTAATTAATACTATTTTCAAAAGTTCTAATGTACAATTTGATGAAACTTCTTAAAAATAAAATTCTAATACTATTTTAGCTTTTGATCCTTTATCACCTTTATTGATTGATTTTAATCCACATCTTTCTTCTACAACATTACAAGAACAAGGTTTTATATCCAAACAACTCTCTTTTTTATAAAAATCATTTTATTATTTATATTTTTAACCTTTAAAAGAACTTCTTATTTCAAATAATTTTGAGCTAATAAAAGATTCTAAAGTAAGAAAATATTCTCTATTGAATCCTCTTTTTATTTCTTTAGATGATCCGACATAAGATTTTTTGATTATCCTATGCTATTAAGATTTTTACTCAATACTAAGAATTTTAAATTTTGCTCTAATGGCAACAACAATCCCAACAACAAATATTTCTATTCATCCAAAATCCAGTGCTTATCTTGTAGCCATTAGTAAAACTTTCTTTGAATTGCAATCTTATGCCAATGCCCTTGCTTCTATCCAATATATCTATTGGCTTGAAACCATAAAAATTAAATATAAGTCTCTAATAGAGAACCATACTTAGAATTTATAATTTCTTTCATTGTGGTACAAGTCTATACTTTGTAAGCGGATTTGCAAAATTAAATATAATATTAATGGAGTATTATAAAAATATAAAGTAAGATTAGTCACTAAAAGATTCACACAAAAATATAGAATAGATTATGTAAAAACTTTTAGACTAGTAGTCAAGCATCATTTTCTTTGCTTTCTTATTATTATTATTGTTGCTAACAACATGGAACTCTAATAATTTGATATTAGCATAATATTTCTAAATAGAATTATATATATATATATATATATACATATACATATATGTATGTATCAATCTTCTAATTTTTAAAAATCTTCCACAAAACCATTTTATTGCCACCTTTGGAAGAGCCTTTATGGGCTTAAGCTAAGTACTCTTTATTAGAATAAAAAAATTAATTTGTTTCTAAAACAATTCAATCTTTATCTGTATACTACAAACCATTGAATCTACTTGAATTGTTGTACATCTCTTCATATAATTGTTGAAATCCATGCTGACAATGGTATGATTTGTTCTTTTTTAAGCCAAATATTTGAATATCTTAAAGCCAATTTCAAAACCATAATTGGATCTCTTGATTGTTTTGTGGATTTTCAAATTCAAAAATCCAAATGATGATAATTAATTTCTTTCATTAACATTGTTATGTCACGACATTTCTTAATTGTTTCAACATGATTGATTGTAACTTTATTTCTGCTCCCCCTGATCTTGGATCTATTCTTTCCACTAATTGATTGGGTATTTCATTAACTACTGAACCATATACCTAGTGTGTCAGTTGTTGAATGGATGCTATGGTCTTCACTTGGCTTAATATTTCTTTTGTCCTCAGTAAAGCTACTCAATTTCAACAATCTCCATAAACTTCACACTCAAATGTCTTAAAACAGATTCTATGATATCTCGAAAGAACCATTATTTGTTGTCTTCATTTCCAACTAACTTGTGATCTTTATCTTTCTGGTTGCTTTGACTCCAACTTTGCAAGTGATCTTGATGATCAAATAAACTGCACTCGTTATGTATTTCTTCTAGTTGGTGGAACAATTTCTTGGAAAAAGCCAATGACAACCATGTAGTAGTGATTCTACAAGTGCCACTGAGCTCCTTGTGATGGCTAAAACAGTTAAGGAAGCAAATATAGTTATCTTGTCTCTTAAACAATATCACAATATCTGAGTCCCTCCTGATTATTATTTCATGTGATAACCAGGGAGTAATTGCTCTTGTTAAAAGTCTAGTTTCCCACAAACAAATAAAACATATCAATACTAAATATTATTTTGTTTAAGAATTCTGGGAGAAACAACAAATTGATTTTTCTTACATTCCAATTTGCAACCAATTCACTGATATCGTCACCAAATTCCTCTGCAAAGTCACTTTGTACAGATGCAAACTTGACTGGGCATTAGAACTTTCACTGCCGATTAAATGACAAAGATGAATAACATTTGGCATAAAAAGTCAAAAATGAAGGAATGGGAGTGTTGGATGAATACGTTCATTCAACTTTCTACATCTAAATGTAAATTGTAACTTCCTCTATATAGATTAGTGTTCATTATAAATTTGCTATTCTTTTATAGAGAAGAGTGCTTGTCGTTTGCTAAGAGGTCAATTGATCAGTGCTAGCAGTATCTCAAAGACGGTGATGAAAAGTGAATCAGTGCTATTGCACAGTAAAGAGTAAACACATGTGTTACCGCCGTTAAACCAGAGTTTGTGAGTAACAACTTCAATAGACTCCCAGGAAAAGTAAAACCCTACCTCGTCATGATTTGGTAACGAAGAACCAACTAGATC